TGCTGCGGCACAGACCTGCCCTCGCCTGGACAACCTGGGCTGAGACTCAGCTGATCTACCGTCGCGTGTCCGGTGCGTGGGCATTGATATCTGATCTATCAGCTAGAAAGAGCTGCTTTTAGGGCACATTTCATCTGATCTATTCCAGACAGATGTCTGCGTTGTAATAAGTCACTCCCAAAGTGTCTCTTTCTCCCCAGTGACTACACGGGGAGCTTGCAGGGATCAGCCCAGACAAGGCATGTGCGGGTGGAACCCAGCAGGCACCAAGCCTGTGTCCAGCCTTTTGAGCTGGAGCCTTGCGAAGGGCCTGTTGTGGCTGGGGATCTCAGATAAACGGCAGCATGTGCGATATGCAGTTGTGGCTGCTTGCTGTTAAAATGTTATTTCCATGATGGTGTTGCAATTTGGGGTCTGATAAAACAACCTAGCAGCTAGAGTCTTTGCTCAGAGAAGGATTGTCCCTCTTGTCTGACCCCCACCTTTCCTGAGGGTGTCCAAGCCCCATCTCCTGCTCCTAGTGAGCAGTCATGAAGTGGCAACCTCCTGGGCAGACATTCTCTATCTCTGCAGCTGAAACTGTTCTCCTGAATAGGTCTCTTTGGAGACCATGAACAAATACAGTATCAGCACTTCGACATTCCTTGATAACAATAAAGTTACGTGGCCAGAGGCTGAGACTTCTGATGTTTATTGCAAGTGCTATTTATAATACCAAGATGAAAACAGAGCATTTATGCTTTAGAAGTACATTCACTTTGGAGGAAAAGGCACTGAAAAAACAGTAATATGATCACAGATAAGCTACTGCGGGGAACTAGACCCAGCTAGGAGAAGTGACCTATGCTCTTCTGTTATCACTCTGGAAACTTTCAGAGTGACTTTAATCCAAAGGTCTCAAAGCACTTCAGAGATGTGTCATAGGTGGAGACAGCAATCAAAAGCTGTGGCAGAGGTCGCACTGATCTTTGCAGAGTTTGGATAAAATTAATGCATAACATGTAACAGGCAGATGGAGGTCAGGAACTGTTGCTCCCAGCCACTCTGCTTGAACCACCAGGCGCCTTTCTTCCTCTTCTAGTCTCAGCTTATTGGTGTCATCACTCTAAAATAAATTGCACCAATAGTTCACACCTTGTAACTATATGCACAGAGCCTAACAGAGCTGTTGAAGACCAGTGGGGCTGTTCCCATCATCTAGCCTGACCCTCTACAGCACACAGCAGCCATTCTCGACTTCTGAAGTCTTCAGATGATGGAAAAGCCTCACAGTTTTAGCTAATTGTTCCAATAATTAAATGCTGTTGTTGTCTAGACTCTGCACTTAATCCCTGCTCTCAGTCCATCTAGTGGCAGTTTTCAACACTGCATCTCTGTTCTGAAAGACACTTCCGAATGAAAAAAGCACAAAAGCTGGTTTAATGATTACATGAGGTTTCTAACATTTAAAGCTGTACTGCACAGCGTATCATACGCTATATTATATGAAACAATATGTGTTTCTTTTACATATATTCAACATATCTTAGATTTTGTTTCATGTAATAAGAAATAAGTGTACATCTAGGTTGGTCAATTTTGTCTTAGAATCATAGAATCTTTAGGTTGGAAGGGACCTTTTAAGGTCATCTAGTCCAACCCCCACCCAATGAGCAGGGACATCTTCAACTAGATCAGGTTGCTCAGAGCCCCCACCCACCTGACCTTGAATGTTTCCAGGGATGGGACGTATTCTCTGCTTTTGCTCTACCAAAGAAATGAATGGTTGTGCTTTGGCTCAGTGAGACCTGAATTCATTCTTGATTCCTTCACAGGGAGGAAAATCAATAGTAGTAGAGGCAGCTGACAGGAAAACTCTGCTGCTTTTGCACAAAACTGATGCTCCAATAAAGCCTTTTTATTCCTTGACTGTGTAGATCCTGAGCAAGGAAAGTAGTTTTGTGCACGACTAAAATAAGATTTTACAGTGAAGACCAGGATGAAGAATTAGGTGGAGCTGGAATCAGCATTGCCCATATCGAATCAACAGTGTGAGTAAGGAAGGATGTAGCTGTGCTTCACGGTCAGCACACTTGTTTCACCATGCAGCGAGTTGCATGGGATTCACACGATGCCTTATCTTGCCTGAACCTGCCCCCAAAAGGCTGAGTGCACCAGCTAAATTCACCTCAGCTGGGTGGAGGCATCCTGGGCAGTGTGAGCTCTTGGATCTGTCATCTCTTAGACCCATGGTGGCTCTTTGTAGAGCTGTCATTTGTTCAGATGTTAGAGTATGTGAACGTTACTACGAGGGCAATTGCTTTTCACCCAGCTGTTGGCCAGCTGTGGGAGACTATGGCACCAGCAGTGTTGGCTGTGACAACGTGTTTGCATACATGGATGCTCAGAGCATGCTGTGATACCATGTTATGCTGTTGTGGGTTTATTTTCTTCCTGAGAAGGAAGGAAAGAATTTTGTGCAGTTCAGCAGCAGGGACAGTAGTAAAGAAAGCTGAGGTTTTATCCATCTCTTTCCAGGTTTCCTGGCTGAAACAACAGCCTGTGTCTGCCTGTTCTTAAAAAATGGTAATCTCTTAATCACAAAAGTAGAATGAGAGGCACTGAGAAAGCAGAGTGACTGCCCTAGAGAAATGCCGAGGAAAATAAATACAAATGCCTGTGTGTCTTCCTGTCATGAAAACAATGCAGTTAGTTAACTTCTTCAGGTAACAAAGATTTAACTTTTATAGGTGCCAGGCATGCCTGTGGGTAGCTTGGTTTCAGAATGCTAGAAAGATCAGAGTTAGCAACAGCAGTACGACCAGTTACTGCAGAATTTCTCTATGTCACTGGAAAACCACCTGCATAGAAATCGAGTGTATTGTATTTACAGCAAACGAATGCAAACAACGGTGGGTTGGAGCTCTGAATGTGTGACTAGCCCTGTTGGTGCTGGAGAGCCAAACAATGCTATAACAACCACCGCAGACACGGTAAACCGATAACATGCTCAAAAAGTATAAATCACTCTTTCCTGTCTCCATCATTGTGGTATTCATGACACACTGGGTTTCGGATTGTGCAATGAAATGGCATTTGACTGAAGACCTTTGATGTTTGTAAGGGAAGTTGTTCCTGAGCCAAACCACTCGTTTGGAGTGAAGCGAAGAGTCGGAGCACCGTGACGGGTGGTTTTGTAAAGCGTAGGACCCTTGGTGAAATTACCCTGGGCCTACCATCCAGGTCCTCCATTGTTTGACAAAAAACAATGTATGTGACAGATTGCATAAAATCTTCATTGACTGTCCCTGCTCAACTTAAACCAAGTATTTTCTTTTGCCACCTGATATCAGTCCCTTGCTGCTGAAAAAACTTTTTGTAATCAGGAAAGAAGCCAAGACACAGAGTATTAAGTCATCATTTATAATTAATTTTCTTCAGATTAAAATAATTTTCTGAAATCATGTAGGGTTCACTTGTTTTATAACAGGTCCTTAGGCAGCATTTACATTATGCATGTCCACACTCAGAAAAGATTATTTCACCCCATGTGTTTACTGTCATTATTCTTTTGAGTGTGTTCCACTTGATTCTGTAACACATTAAATATGCCAGAGGAAATACCAAAGGTGAAGATATTGAATGCTGCTCATTTTACAAAAGATAAATAAGCTGAAAGTGTTGACATGACAGCCTGAGATACCGTAACAAGCTGTGGGTTTTCTCCACTCCAAAACTGCTTTCAAGCCATGGTCTTTTCTACAGCAAGATGGGAGGGTGAGGAAGGGCTCAAATAAAATACTGAATGAAAAGAAAATATTTTTAGCTTTTACTAGCAAACTTTTCAATGCTGATGTGCTTTTCACCCATTCTGCTGCTCAGCAGAAACAAGAGACCCTATTCACTGGTGCGAAAGCATGTCCATGTGTACGCTGCCCTCCCAGAAGGTGGTCAGAGGCCGGGGGTCACAGAGCTCTTCCAGGAGGAGACTGCCAGCAGCTATAGCTGGGGGCAGCAGGCAGCAGATGCTCCTGTCTGGGACTCCACTTTTGTTTCCCCTTTCACGTCCTGCCCTTCTCTCCCACTCTTACCTGCACCTACCAAAGTAAGTCTGGCTTCATCCTGCCTTTGGGTCCGGTTTATGCAGCTTATGTTTTACAGCTGACATATATACAGAGAAAACCACATCCAATTCTTTGGCTGTTCAGAGCAGGGGTTGTCTGGGAGGTGCCTTGGAGTCTCATGCACTCTGCATTAAGGCTGGCTTAATGGCAATGCTGTGTTCATTTTGGGGGAGAAGGTCAGTATCTGTTTTGGGGGGCTGGTGAGGATAACCCCCTGGCCTCAGACTCCTCTCTGCTTTTGCAATCTCAGCCCATCCTGGCCTGGTGTTTCTGGTTGTCCTGCTGAGGGCTTGGCATCTGGTTTTGTCTCCTCAGTTGGCTCTTTACTCTTCTCTGAAGGCTCTTTTTTGCTTGGTGCCTCTGCTCTGTCTGTCTCTTGGCCACTATTATCTGTGGCACTGGATGTTACCTGCATGGACGGTGCTGGCTGAAGGGGCTCATTGATCTTCTTCCACCTCCGGGCCCCTGACTGTGTATTGAATTCGTACATTCTGCCAGTAACTTGCAAGAGAGAAAAGACAACCAATTAAAATCATTCCTG